CCCCAAAACCCCAAAACCCCAAAACCCCAAAACCCCAAAACCCCAAAACCCCGGTTTTGTGAGAGTGTGTTGAATTTAAGCTTCGGATTGAGGTTTTTTAATGAGCCACCATAGAGCTCCACCGACGACAAGTCCAACACTACCTACCAATGCTGCTATTTTTATTTTCTTGTTTCTCTTTGATCTTGCTAATTCCTCCTAAAAGTTATGTCTAAATTATACATCATAAAGTTGCTTAGCCTTCTTGATATCACTAAGATACCCTTGAAGCTGTAATATACGCTCGTAAATATTTGAAGAAATAGGGTTTTGAGGTAGCTGCTCGTGTAATTCTCTAGCCTTCTTGGCCAAAATAATGGCTTGATCAATCTCCCCGCAGTCTCTTTTAAGGACAGCCATGAAGATGACGATATCTACTCAATGCTGGTTTACTTCTGTTTCATACAGCTTTTCTGCAATTTCGTAACCTCTGGTGAGCTGTTCATAAGCTTTATCAATCTTGTTAAGAAAATTGTTCCCTTGGGACAATATCTTCAGAGTCTCGATATATTCAGCAGAGTTCTCACTATAAAGAGCCAGTGTGACATTTTCAAACTGTTCAGAATCCTGTGAGAAAGGTATTGAGTTTTTAGTCTCCACTGCAAACGTTACTTTTTGCCTAAGGGCGAGGTATAGAGCCTTAGTTACTTCTCCACTTTTAGAGGCTTCTTCGTAGAATTTCTTACAACACATGACTGCCTTTACAAAATTTTTCTCCTTCATGCTGATCATGAATACTTTGTCATAGAGTTGTTCAGCATGAGGCGACAGTTTATCAAGCAGAGAAAGATACTTTAATGATACATTAATGTATTTCTGAGGCTCGTTGAAAATATTTGCAAGTTGGATTAGGGTCAAATACATTCTCTTGAGTCTTAGCTTTAACGCTGGATCATCCTTTGCTTCGTACTCTGAGGTCAACTCTTCAAGAGATTTCTGGATTTCTCTTGATGAGTTAGAGCCAGGGGTTCTCAGTCTGATAGCATAATCTTGCATTCTAAGGTTAAAATTAAAGCTTTTAAAACTATCTATTCCCAGATCTTCACAGAATTTGAGTGCTTTATCAACATAAGGCTTGACAGTCTGATCCATCAGAGGTTCTAATAAGCAGACATAGTTGATATATGAAAGTTTATCCTCTTCTAACAAATCTGCATATTTCATGACGAGGGTGAAATCTCCTTGTATCCCTAGCACCTTTTGAATCTGTATCCAAATAGTGAAAGGATATACACTGTGATAATTTCTCTCATAAGGTTCGAGCTCTAGTAGTTTAGATAGCTCATTAGTTGTTTTATCAACATCTACTCTGCTATAAGATTGTCTATCAATGATCAATCGATAAAAGCGAGAATACATAATGTTATAAGTGATATGACTCTGCTGAAAATCATGATGTTTGACTATCTTCTCTATCATAGCACTCGCCTTAGCAATTTTCTCTTTGTCTTTATCCTTCACACCGATAGCGATATTAGTGAAGGATTTACTGAGATTTGCAAGGCAGAAATCAGGGTCAATATGGGTAGCCAATTCAGTATCTATCAAAGCATATACTTCTTCTATCTGTCTCTGGATGTTTTCATCAGACTTCTGAGCGGATTCAAAATTGTAATCCAGCACTTCAGACATGTATCTCAAGAGCTTAGTTGATTTACATATTTTGATAAGGTCTTGATTGATCTCAACACATTTCTCAAGATTTCCAGTGCTTTGATAGAAATCTAAACAAAGTCTGCCTCTTCGAAATTCAAGCTCAGTGATCATCTCTTCTGTAAACTTTCTGCTGGGAATATCTTCAAAGATCTGAGTGCAATACTCTTCAGGAGTTTGTACTGAAAGCCCCATAAAAGATGAGGTTACCTCGAGATAAGCACAATAATACATAAAAACTACATAATCATCCTGTTTATTTTGCTCAAAAATAGTTTTAAAGAGGTCTAGGATAGCTTGGCACCTTGAATACCCTCCATTTGCCATAAAAATCTTCATAAAAATCCCTAAAAACTCAACTTTTTCCTTAATGTCCATCTCTTCATCAGTGAACAACTGCTGATAAATATCTTCAAATTCCTTAATACTTTCTCAACTTCCTGCTTGACCCGTTCCTTCTTCCGTAATCCCGCCTATATGCACACTAAAACCCATAAATTTGTTCCTGACCAGCCACTAATCCAAGCCTAAAAGCTCCAAAATTTGTACTGCACCTAACCGCTTACCTGGGATATCCTGAAGAATAGGCAAAATGGAGGATTTTATAGAGTAAATAACCAGTTTGACTTTGGCTTGTTTCAAATGGGAGCTTTCTCAGTAAGTTTTTTGAGCGGTTTGGCCTAGCTGATCGACTGAGAGGCGGTAGATTTGTTCTATGAGGTGAGTGAGGGTTTTGGACTCCATTTTAAATAATTTATTGAGTAATGAGTGTGAAAGGGTATTTTAGGGGTTTTGGGGTTTTGGGGTTTTGGGG